GGTAACAACCTAAAGTGGTTGGTGGAACTTACCGTTCCGAGTAACCCGGACACTCTCCTTCCCTCCTTCCTTAGGTGGTCTACTGCGACCCTCTACAGCAACCGAGTGCCCTGGTTGTTCCAGAGAAAGAAACTCCACAAGGTCTCAAAACCACACAAACCAAAAAAGTGGCGCCTTGGATCCCTCCTAGTACCCTTACTACCCCTATTCCCTTACTGACACCATCCTCTTCCTACGACTCTTACGTTCTGCCCTTACTTCTCTAGCCAATCTGAGATCTGCAGGTTGCCCTGAGGGGAGATCTTTGCCAGTTGCCCCCGAATGGACCATGTCTTGAGGAACCATTCAATGTTCTGCTGTCCATTTCTCCATCCCACCTTTCTGTACCAGTCTGTTTTGAGCTGGGTTTTGACCAGGTTCCTGAAGATCTTTTCCACTTGCATCTCCCTCAGTGGCACGTCCCTGAAGCGTCTCGCGTTTCTGTCGGACCAAATCACCCACAGCATGCAGCCCCTGGCCACTTGTGCAACGTAGTCCCATCCCTGTTAGCCGTGACTCGGGTTCGGTAGTGCTCCTTGCAAGACCCATCTTTTCCCTGTCAGATCAGATCTCCCAGAGAAGCTTACCCACCATTTCTCCCACCACTTCCACCATTTGTTGGAGGTGGGGCATTCCCACCAAAGGTGTGAGGTGGTTTCCAGCTGGTTACCGCATCTATCACAGTGCGTTTCGATTTCCATCCCTCTCTCCGATAGCCGGGCTGCCAAGGGAACCGCCAACTGCGACTGTAACGACAGCAGTGAGGCTTTTTTTCTGGGAGGGGAGCGCTTTCAGCTGTTTCCAGAGTCCTCTCAACTCTTCTTCAGATGGGGGTTCAATGCCATCGAGCCTGGAGTTTTTCCACTGTGTTCAGTTTCTTGGAGGTGATCCGGAGTGATAAGGATGGAGTAAGATTCTTCAAGTCCTTGATCACCCGATCCTCTTCTAGAGTCCATTCCCAGGCCACCGGATCGATCCTCAGTTTGCTAATAGGGGTGCCGCCGGCTACTACTGTCAACATGTCTGACTGTCCTTCCTCTCTTGGGGGGTTTCTGCAAACACGAATCTCTGTGAGGCCCGTGAGGCCATAACGGAGGACTATCCCCGTTATTTTGATCTCCGGCAGGCCAGGAAGTTCCCTTTCATACTTCTCCATCCAGCATTTCCCCCCGCCATCGGGTATCCACTCCTGTAACCTGAGAAATACTTCCCGAAGCCCTCTCTCCCCAGAAGCTCTCTCTCCCTCTTCGCAGTACCAGGTGTCGACAGGGTTTACCGCCTCCGGACTGAGGATGTCTTTCCATTCTGGTGGAATTGCTCTGATCAGTTCGTTGAGTCTCTCCTCCTGTTGCTGTAGCTGTCCTAACTGGACCTTGATGTCAGACGGTTGTTTCCATGTGTTGGTACTGCTGTCCCATTGCTGTACGAAAAGGCAGACCGGAGTGAGGTGAGAAATTACAGACCGATCTCCCTTCTTAATGTAACTTACAAACTGTTGGCCAAAACACTGGCGGAGAGACTAGGAAGACACCTCCCAGGCCTAGTTGGTCAGGAGTAGGGCGCGTTTGTAAAAGGTAGATCCATATACGATAATGTGGCTGCAGCGATACAAGCCCTCGAAATCATCAGCAGAGACAACAGGGACGTTGCTGTCCTCATGCTCGACCTCGAGAAAGCTTACGATAGGGTAAATTGGCCCTTCGTAATGACGACGCTGAGGACGATCTGCTTTGGAGACTGCTTCGGGAAGTGGGTCACAGCCTTGTATGGTCACGCCGCTGCAGTGAGTGTTAACGGAATGTTATCGGAAGAATTCAAGTTGACGAGATCGCTCCGGCAGGGGTGCCCTCTAGCCCCCCTGCTCTTCGTCCTCCAGCTCGAAGTTCTCCTATGCAACATCCGGAACCAATCAGCAATTAAAGGCCTTGCCTTCTCGAATGGACAAGAATGCAAAGTGTGAGCCTTGGCTGATGACTTGTTTGCCATTTCGGTAAATGAAAAATCATCCTTCGACGCATTGAAGGACTGTCTTTTCACTTATGCGGAACTGTCGGAGGCTGCAGTAAACTGGTCGAAGTCACTGTATTTTCTTCCAGAAGAGTATGCCTGTCAGGTGGAATGGGGATGCAGAGAGTGCCTGCTGGGACGCTTGAAGACTGTGCCACTGCTCAGAATCAGATTATCCAACAAAAGGTTCTGAACAGAATAAACAGCTGGGGCACGGATCGTCACCTATCACTAGTAGGAAGAGCACTTTTTTTTTTTTTTTTTTTTTTTTTTTTGCTCATGATCCTTTTTTTTTTTTTTTTCAAATGAAGATTGAGGCCGGGGTCCTCACAGTCTACCCGGAGTAACCGAACCGAACATGCTGAGAACCGGGCGCAGTGTCCCTCATGTGATGATGATGGTGATGCTAGTAATGATGGACTTCTAGTGTTTCTTAGAAAAGTGTAAGATAGTAATTCCGATGATGATGATAATGATGCTGATGCTGATGCTGATGATGGTGATGGTGATTAGTATATAAAAGAGACTATGCTATATCAACGATTCTAAGCACCTCCCGAAGCCCACAGCAGTTTTCCAAAAAACTCAAGTATCTAAGGGATTTCCAACAGATCCTAACAAAGCTCACCGAAACTGACTTATTCTCTGACAAACTCAACCAGGCCTCACGCCCCCTAACTGCTAGGTTACAGAGCAGCGCGACTCACTCCAGCTCCGGCCAGTGTCATCCTGTGTCAGCAACCCCCAGCTGTCCTTTAGGATGCCCCCCACATAGCATCCCCAGATCTCTCTGCCAGGCCTCATGCCCTCAACACTAGTAATTAGAGCGTCAGCGTTCGCACTGCTGTGGTATGTAGGGTCCTTCAAGCGTCTGTCCAAATCCACTCTTCGATCAGTAAAAGGGGCAGCCAGACGGCTGCTCTGAAAACCGGAGGGTGACCGTGACAAAGGATACATATCGAAGGTTGCATGGGAGGCAGTGTGCTCTTCTCGTGACGAAGGAGGTTTAGCTCTGAGCGACTCAGAAGCACAGAACCTGGCTCCGCTAACCAAGTGGATTCAGAAGGTGGCAGAACAAGGCCCAAATGTGGACTGGGTCGTAATGGCAGAGGATCTCCTTGCAGAGGAATGGGGATTAGACAGGAAGAAGGATGTATGGGTTGCCGTGTTTATCAGCTCCTTCACTAATGGAAGAACGAAATCGGCATTCTGGAGAGACATCGTAGCAGCCTGGCGGATGATTCGCCCGAACAGACAGTCCTCTCTCCGAAAACGAAAGCCGAAGTCAAACGAGAAATTCTGTTTGAAAATCGGGCGATTTTGGATGAGGAGGGCCACCATTTCTCTGCAGGTACTCAAGCAGGAACCTTTGGCAGAAAATGGATTCAGAGGGGCATCTCCTGGACCACTTGTACAACCACTTGTAGGAAATACAGAAAATATGGCAGTGAATCTACCCAGGTTCTAGCGGGAAGTTCCTTCTCCCTGAGTAGCGGAGGGCGATGGTTACATCCAATCCACGAATCCCACAAACGACAGCCCCCCCCCAAAAAAAAGACTAATCAAAAGCAAAAAAACAGCGGACGAACCCCTCCTAGACCCATCCACACAAGCAACGGGTCGCCAGTGGCCTGCCCTCAGAATTTCGGGTGCGGCCCATAAATTCCGGTCCCAGACGGATTCCGCAACCTTTTACCCCCTCTCTCTTAATCCTGCCAGCTTCCCAACTACCATCACGCTCCCCGCCTACCGATATGTGCCCAACGACCACCACGCTGCTCGACACAAAACGACAAAAGGGCGGTAAACGCAGCCCCTACGGGATACGAATACAGAGGAGAGTGGCGCATGGCCCCGCTGAAAGATGACATGCATTCACAACCAAAAAACTGAAAAACAAAAAAAAAGGCGGATGGATATGTTGCGAGGGCAGTTCCCCCTAAGCTACATAGAATAGACGCGGGGAAGTTAAAACCTTGCACCCGTCTTTTTCTTTGGGTTCTTTTGAGTGTCTGGAATGACTTTGGCTAGCGATCGTTTCACAATGAATGCCCGTTGCTAAAAAAAAAAAAAAAGAATACCCGCTGCTCTTCTTCTAGACAGACAAAGTTACAACGTACAATACCGCTCAATTCCGCAATGAAGGTCACGCCCCTGTTGATTGCCAGCGCCTTCTTGTCCGTGCGTCAGTCCTTCTCGACAAGAGGGTGAGGCGCGTTACTTTTTTTCCTTCTTCGAATCCAAATTTCACTCTATGAGCAGCTGGCTCGTTATATTCACGTCTCAGCTCCTTTGTGAATGCGTCCGACTGCGTTATCTAACTTCGTGTCCTCGTCATCTTGCACGTCCGCAATGGTGAAAGGGCAATATGAGTGGGAGCGAGTTTCTCTGTGCTTGAGTCGAATATACTGGAACGAGGGGTTATTTGGTGCTTTCTCTCACACACACACACAGAGAGAGAGAGAGAGAGAGAGAGAGAGAGAGAGAGAGAGAGAGAGAGAGAGAGAGAGAGAGAGAGAAAGAGAGAGAGAGACGGGGGGGAGGGACACTGTGTTGCTCTGCTTCAAATCCATTTTCGGGCCTGCTTGATTCAGCAGGTGAGTTGTCAAACGCTCCTTGCGGATTTCGACGTCCAACACCCTTTGTGGTGTTTGCGTTAGTCCGCAACGAGGTTGGAAATGGGTTAGGACGATGATTGTGAGGGAGTAGTCTGTGACCTTCATTATTGGATACTGGAACCGGCGGGTATTTGACGGTTCCTTCACAACACACTGAAAACGAACAAAACACAGAAGAAAAGAGAGAGAGAGAGAGAGAGAGAGAGAGAGAGAGAGAGAGAGAGAGAGAGAGAGAGAGAGAGAGAGAGAGAGAGCACGTTCAGCGTAGTACATTTTAAGTAGTACAAATAAATAACTATAAATTTACTGAGTCAAAAAGACTCAAAATGATATTTGGACTGAAGGATAACTTTACTGCAACTCTGTGAGACACATCTGACCGCACTTCATTCAGCTCAACTTGAGAATGTCCACTGTCGACTCCAGTTACATCGGACTCGAACCGTTGTCTTTTTTTTTTTTTTTTTTTTGACTCGAACCGTTGTCAAATCTCTGATGTCCGACTTTTTTTTTTTTTTTTAATACCAAAACCGCTTCCTCCAGCGCTAGTGGTGCTGGACCTGCTGGTGCAGCAGACACCACTACCACCTCGGGAGAGGCTCCATCTATTGGTGGGGAGCATCACCTGCTGGGGGCGAGGTCCCACTAGCAAAAGAGGATTGGATTGAACGCCTGAATCTGGACGCGTTTGTGGAAAGGTGGACAAAATCGAGATTGAACTTCTTTTCTGCATTTGTGCTGAAAACACGTCCAGATTCAGGCGTTCCATCCAATCCTCTGTGCTAGTGGGTCCTCGCCCCTGGAAAACGGGTCCAGCGTACCTTCTACAGAGTGATTCAGAAGAACAATCAGAATGTCCGACTAATCCCTGAGAAGATCCAATTTACACGGGGAGCAATCCTAACCGTCGGATCTATCTAGTCAATCGAGAATCGTGACTATGGGGTACTATCGTTCCAACCCCCCCCCCCCCCCTTTCTCCTTCCTCCCCCGACGGAATACAACGTACGGTCATTACAACTGTATTCGGCGTACCTTCCAGTCTAGATACAGAGATAAGCACCGTAAAGTTTGATTCGGCGGAATCCGATACAGCTTCTTTATAAAAAAAAAAGATATTACATGCTAACCGCTATCGGCCAACAGATAACAGTTAATGTTACAAAAAAAGAAGGGAAAAAAAAAAAAAAAAAAAAACAGTGCTGGTACACTGACCGTTTTTCTCGTTTTCCACCTGTCGCTTTTTCCTTTCTTTTTTTTTTTTTTTTTTTTTTTTTGTCTTCTGGGAAGTCGCGTTTTCTTCGATTTCTTACCGATGCACGGTACTACTTTTATTAAATTAAATCTGAAACTGCCAGTGATTACCAGGATTCGAAGAGAATCGAACGCACGACCTGCTCATCACCAATTACATGTGTGAAGTTGTGAACCATTCAGCCACAGGGGTGGATGGGCAATTTGCACACGGATAGGCCTCCGCTCCATTGCGCGACATTCTACATGAAAACGTGTCTGCAACTGGTAATTGTCCAGATACATTCGAAATGCTAGATGGTCCAAATGGGTCTGGTCCTTGGCCTCTACAACACCCTGGGCTTCAAAAAAAAAAAAAAAGAAAAAAAAAAAAGGAAGTATCTGGTCTAGTGCTCAGTCCAGACGCATGCAGAATGTCGTGTACTGGACCGAGGCACATACACGTTGTTCAGATCTGATCCACACCTTACACGTAATTCCCCCTCGGCTGACGTCATCATTAATTCGCCCGATCCTCCATT